CATGCAGTTTTTCGCTAAAAGCACTGAAGTCATTTTTTTGTTATACTGGCAGTATTAGCTAAATGAATAATTGTATTATGTTGGCACTGCTGTTGCTGTGGCTTTCACGTGCTTGCTTCTGCTGAGATCTATGAAAGAAGTTTTTGCTTATTTCAGGAAACATCATTGATATTCAGAAATATATTTAAAAAGAATAAACAATCACTTCATACTTACTAAGATGGCAAAATAATAATAACAATAATATTTAAAAAGAATAAACAATCATTTCATACTTACTAAGATGAGAAAAAAATAATAATAATGGGAAAATAACAAATGTTTGTAAGAATGTGGAGAAAGTGGAACCCTCTGCATTGCTGGCGCGAATGTAAAATGATGCAGCCACTATGGAAAGTTTGGCAGTTCCTCAAAAAGTTAAATATAGAATTATCATATGACTCAGCAATTCCACTCCTAGGTATGTATCCAAAAGAATTTAAATCAGGGACTCATACAGATACTTTCACACCAATATTCATTGCAGCATTATTCACAATAGCCAAAAGGTAGAAACAACCCAAGTCCGCTGATAGATGAATGGATAAACAAATATACATACATACATGCATACATACAACGGACTATTACTCAGCTATAAGAAGGAATGAAGTTCTTATATATGCTACGACATGGATGAACCTTGAAACCATCATGCTAAGTGAAATAAGTTGCTAAGTGAAATGAGGACAAACATTGTATGATTCCATTTATATGAAACATCTAGAATAGGCAACTTTATAGAGACAGAAAGTAGATTAGTTTCCAGGGACTGGGGAGTGACTGTTTAATGGCTACAGAATTTGTGTTTGGGGTGAGAGAAAAGTTTTGTAAACAGACAGTGGTGATGGTTACACATTGTCAATGTAATTAATGCCACTGAATTGTACATTTAAAAATGGCTGAAATGGGCCGGGTGCTGTGGCTCACACCTGTGATCCCAGAACTTTGGGAGTCCAAAGTAGGAGGGTTGCTTGAGGCTCAGCCTGGGCAACACAGCAAGACTTCATCTCTACCAAATATAAAAAAAATTAGCTGGGTGTGGTGGTGCACACCTGTAGTCTCAGCTATTCGGGCAGCTGAAGTGAGAGGATCTCTTTAGTCCAGGAGTTCGAGGTTACAGCGAGCTATGATCACACCACTACACTCCAGCCTGGGTGACAGAGTGAGACCTTATCTCAGCGGAAAAAAAAAGGATAAAATGGTAAATTTTGTGTTATATGATATGATACCACAATAAAAAAGCAGCAGCAATGGATGGATTCATTCAGCATTAAAGTTTTCACACAAAAATAGTATGATTCTATATTGCTTCACAAAATAATGCTGTATACAAAGATGCAAAAAGGTTTATACTGTTTATCCTAGTATTTTCAAAATTTATGAAGATGTTCATTATAGCACCATTTATATTAGAAAAAAAAACTAGTAGCAACCTAGCAAGCAACAATAGCTGAATGAAACAAATTATGGTAATTAACTTTATGGAAATTACTGTTATTAGAAAAATAATTATGTAGCAATATGGAAACTGATTAGATATACTAAATAAAAAGGAAATTTCATATATTGTAATTGGAAACATGTAAAAGTATGTATACATTACTTTTAGGTGGGAAAATGCCTAAAATAGTAATAATAATTGAGGGTTGTGGGATTAATTTTTAAATAACTTTTTCCTATTTTCCAGGCTTTCTGTAATTTTTGTATATTTTATTAAAAATTAAAATGTGGAAATTAGTATGATCACGAGCTCACTGTTCCAGTGTGGAAGCAGATGACTTCACAGGGCGAAGAAAGGCCAAGGAAAGAATTCATCACTTTTGAAGTTCCCATTTGAGTTTCCTGATCTTAGGCTCCAGGCGAGGCTCCCTATCTGCTTCCTTGGAATAGACGCTTCGAGGGGACAGTTGTCACAGCTAGGGCTGCGTCCTGCCGCGCTCTTCCAGCCCCAGAAACTGCATAAGACATACACTAAAAAATTATTCGTTACGCACCATCCAAGGGATGGACACGCTTGAAACTCGGACTTGGGGGGAAGGGGGGAGGCAAGGGCAATATACGTAACTTAAACATCTGTACCCCCATAATATGCTGAAATAAAAAAAAATTACTCGTTGTTTATCCGAGATTAAAACTTAACTGGGAGTCCTGTATTTTCATTTGTTGAATCTGGGAACCCTCCCTACCCACCGACGCACCGCCTTACTTCCTTCTTCACCTACCGCCCCCTCCTCACCAGCGCCCCCTCCCACCCGGTCTCATTCTACCCCCGAGTCCCTATCCCCTCGCCGTCTCCCCAAGCCCTGCGCCCCTCCTGCTCCCTTACCGTCCGGGCAGATCCCAGGTCCCCCACCCCCTGCGCCCCGCGAATCTCCGGTCAACCTCCTGCTGTCCCGCCCCGCGGATCCCGGGTCCCCACCCCCGCCTGCCCTGCGAATCCAGGGTTTCCCCCCCACCTCCGCCCCGTTGCGCGTGGCGCGCAGGCGCAGGCGCGGAGGGCGGGCGCGGGCGGAATGGGGACTGCAGCTGCGGCAGCGGCGACGGCGGCGGCCGGGGAGGGGGCGCGCAGCCCGAGCCCCGCCGCTGTGTCGCTCGGCCTGGGCGTGGCCGTCGTCTCAAGCCTGGTGAATGGGTCCACGTTCGTGCTGCAGAAGAAGGGCATCGTGCGCGCCAAGCGGCGAGGTAGGGCGGGCCACGGGCCGCGCTCGGGGGAGGGGGAGGAGGGGAGCGCCTGGCCGGGGGGAGGCGGACGCAGGTGGGGGCGTTCGGGTCGTGGTTCAGAGCGGGCACCTAGGAGCTCAAACCCTGGAGGTCCCGCGCCCAGCCCGAGCGCGGGTACGACTCGGCCCTCCTCACCAGGCGGCACCTGGGAGCGCTCTCCGCGGCTGCCGCGTCGCGGTTCCGCGGCAGCTCCAGAAGCGGCCCGGGAATCGCAGGTGCGTCCTGAGCCTTGGTCGCTTTGTCGTGGCCACAGTGTTTCTCCCTTCCCAGCGGCTGAACAGGCCTTGTTTTATAGGGTTTCTTCAGCTGACTTCTCTCCTCGTTCCCAGACACCCTCCCACCCCGTCTGTATCCTCGCAGCCCACTGACCTGTGCCCTGGTTGGAGCCCAAACTTCCCAGGGGTGCGCACCCACCCGCTGCGGAGGAGACCTTCCTCTTTCCAGCATTCTTGAAGTGCTTGGAGCCCAGTGCCTGCCTAGAAAGGGCGACGGGCCTCCTGCCTTCACCGTGGCTCGCGGCGGGGGTGCACTTGAGAGGGCGAGACCTGCCGGTTTCGAGCTCCCTGCAGTGGCCGCGCCCGTGCAGAAGTGAGAATTGTGCCGGACGGCGGGCGGGGGAGGCACTCACTCGCGGGGTCTGTGCTCCTTTGTGGCTTCTGTTCCCGGGGTCCTTGATGGAGCCTTCTCAAGTTTAGACTGGAACCATCGGAATTCAAGTGATCTTCAGCGGAAAACACCAAACACCACTCCTTAGCGATGTGGGAAGCAAAGGGGTAGCAGAGTTGTTCTTTGCCGGTGTCTTCTGTGCTGAGAGGCCTGGGACAGTTTAACTGAAGGCAGGGTGTAGCATGCTTTGATTTGCAAAGTAAACATTGCTTTCGGAGGGACGGAGAAAGTCGTTAGCTATATTCTCATAAGAATAGTATTAAGTGCTCTCTGGAAATGATGTGACCAGGTCATGGGTTGTGAGAGGAAGTAAACTCATTCGGAAAACTAAGATTCCAAAATGCAGGTGAAACTTTCTCTGCATGCCCTGGCTCCTGAGCCAGGACTGCCTTCAGAAAAGAGTTAAAAGGCCCAACAATCTTGAGTGAAAATATAAAATCATGGGTATTTGTTTAAAGAATTCAACTTTGGAGTGAAAGTGTTGCAATCTTCACACAAAATCTAAATAAAGGATGATTTCCCAGGGGTGCAGATGTGCCTGTTTCTAAGGTACAAACACATCTGTCAGCTACCCCGTCTTCAGGGAGCTCCTGTCAGTTTGATAGGCCTCAGGGCTGCGAGCTGTTTGCTGTGACTCAAAGATAGACAACACATGTGCCCTTGGTAGGATGGCATGAGAAAGCACTTCACCTCTGTGGTCATCCTCCCAAATCCCAAACCTGGGTGTGACCATGAGAAAAACATCACACAAAACACAAACCTGAATTGAGGAGCATCTTACAAAATATCTGACCAGTCCTCTGATCAAGGTCATGAAATCTGAGAGACTGTCACACTCAGGAAGAGCCTGGACACATGACCACCAAATGTAAGACATTAGGGAAAAACTAAGGAAATCTGAACATAGGCTTTAGTCATTTAAAAATTGAATAAAACTAAGTGTGTTATTTCATCCCAGCTTATGTGTTCACAGGAATTGGTGAATAAGAAAATAAACAGTTTGGTGCAGTGGCTTATGCCTCTAGGCCCAGCTATTCAGAAGGCTGAGGTGTGAGGATTGCTTGAGCCCAGGAGTTCGAGGCCAGCTGGGGCAACATAGTGAGACCCTGTCTTAAAAAAAGAAAAAAAAAAAAAAGAAAAGCAGATCACCCTTTTAAGAAAACATGATGGATGGTGTTATTTATACCCACATACATGCGTTTAAATTAGTAAAAATGAAACGGTGATACTCATTAATTTCATACTTCCCCAATTACCACCCACTGCCACTGATTCAAGCTAACTGGGTTACTCATGGTGGTAGGAGACAGACATATAGTCTTGTTTCAATAAGTCTACTTTGATTTGTTTAACAGATATTTATGAAGCTCTTATTATGTGCCAGGCACTGTTGTAGGTATTGAGGATATAGCAGTTTTAGAATCTATTCCCCATAAAACCTTTTTCCCACATCTGCTAACAAGCAGCAGAGTTGACCATTATGCAGTGACTAAAACGGAGGAGGAAGGTGGAAAGAGGAGGTAGACAAGAGCCAGAGAGTCAAGTTCCTGTGTTAAGGGAGACCTGGCCTGATGGTTTCTTACGCTGTAAAAAGTTGTGTCTTACTGAAAGTTATAGTTTAAATGAATTGCCAAGTGGCAGCATTTCCAGAGAGTCTCAGCTTCGGGGGAGTCGAGTTCTGGCCACAGTCCATCTATTGGGAAGTGTGGGGTATAGCTTCCTCTCTCATTTTTAAAGGACCTTCCAGTGAATCAGCCAAATACATGCAGTGCAACTCCTGGTACTCCTGGTAGGCCAGGGAGTGCGCTGCACAGCACAGGCTTAGGGTGGGACTGCCTGGCTTTTCCACCGTACCTTTGGATGACACTCCATGGGGAGTTGGCAAGGGGGCACATGGGTCCAGGTCATCTATAGCATGTCTAGTGTTAGAGCCCCAGTGAAGCAGGGCTTACGTAAGAGAAGCAATCACAGGGTGTGAAGGCATTTGTGGAAAGCCAGTTCTGACATTAGAGTAATGGTGCCATGGCCCAGGCGGTGCAGCGGAGGCTGGGTACTCATGGGAGAGGAAGGGCTAGGAATCTGGCTGCTTAGCAGGGCTGGTCATTGAGGGGGTGGTGTGGCTGCCCTGGGGAGAGTTTCCTGGAGGCAGTCTCAGGAAAGTTGTGTCCTCAGGAATTTGCTGGAGGCTTTGAAGAACTGGATGGATAGGCTGGTCCAAGTGCAGTGATGTTTATAACTATTTGATCACAACCAGTTACAGATTTCTTTGTTCCTTCTCCACTCTCACTGCCTCACTTGACAAGCCTTAAAAAAAAAAAAAAAAAAGAGTTGGATGGATAATTAACTCCGTATAGGATGCCCTAGACCAAGATCAACCAGCTGATCTTTAAAAATCCTTTTTTCAGAACCGCAATGAAATACTACCGCACAGGAAGGCTAATGTCAAAAAGACATAAAACAACAAGCATTGGCTGGGATGTGGAGAAACTGGAAGCCTTGTGCATTGCTGGTGAGGATGTAAAATGGTGCAGCTACTTTTTAGAATGGCCATTCCTAAAAAAATTAAACATAGAATTACCATTTGATCCAGTAGTTCCACTTCTGGGATTTTCTAAAGGAAGTGAAAGCAGGGAGGTGAAGAGATATTTGTACCCATGTTCACAGCAGCACTATTCACAGTAGCCAAGACATGGAAACAACCCAAGTATTGTCAGCTGATGGATGGATAAGCAAAATGTGGTCTGTACATAAAATGGAATATTATTCAGCCTTAAAAGGGAGAGGAATTCTGACACATGCTACAACAGGAATGAACCTTGAGGGCATTATGCTGAGTGAAATAAGCCAGTCACAAAAGGACAAATACTGTATGATTCCACTTATAGGAGGTACCCAGAGTAATCAAGTTCATAGAGACAGAAAGCGGAACGGAGGGTGCCTGGGGCTGGGGTAGGGGTGGGGAATCGTTTCATGGGTGCAGAGTTTTAGTGTTTGGGATGATGAAAAGCATCCTGGAGATGGATGGTGGTGATGGTTACACAACAGTGTGAACGTACTTAATACCACTGAACTGTACACTAAACAATGGTTAAGATGGTAAATCTTACATATATTTTTCCAAAATAAAAAAAATCCTTTTCAGGGCCAGGCACAGTGGCTCATGCCTGTAATCCTAGCACTCTGGGAGGCCGAGGCAGGAGGATTGCTTGAGCTCAGGAGTTTGAAACCAGCCTGAGCAAGAGCAACACGCTGTCCTACTAAAAATAGAAAAATATTAGCCAGGTGTGGTGGTGAGCACCTGTAGTCCCAGCTACTCAGGAGGCCGAAGCAGGAGGATCGCTTGAGCCCAGGAGTTTGAGGTTGCCGTGAGCTAGGCTGATGCCATGGCACTCTTCTCAGGGCAACACAGTGAAACTCTGTCTCAAAAAATAAAAATAAAAACACTATAAAAAAATCCTTTTCAGATTTCACAGTGTCCTCCCTGAGAGGAGTACCACCTACAGTGTCATCACATTGTTGAGATGCCCAGGAGGTAAGGGAATTGTCTTGTGAGTGGAAACTGAGACCAGGCACCCCCACTTCTAGTCCCCGGGCCTTCCACACTTGCAGTTTCTGAAGGGCGTGAGCTCCCTGGGCTCTGGGATGGACATAGGCATTTTCACACCATTCCTGCCATTCCCATACAGCTGATATCCCAGCACACACTGGGCACACGTGGCCCCCTCCCCATCCCACCCCGAGATGGAGACAGAGACAGTGGTTAGTTTCCACTGCTTCTGTGAGCCCTCTAGCCCCTGACAGATGGGGGCAGTTGCCTCTCTGTGTGTTTCCTTGGTGCCTGTCCTGAGTCCCCACCCCCTGGGCCCCTGAAACCTGTGGGGTGATGGGCTGTTCACTTGTTTGCATTCCCCCCAGATCTCTGCCCTTCAAAGGCAGGGCACACATCCTGTCCACTGGGAGGCATGTGGTGGACCTTCCATAATGTCTAAGTAGCCATGAGTAACTGTGGACTGAGGTGTCTAAGTAGCCGTGAGTAACTGTGGAGTGAGGAAAGTGAAACTGACCTTTATATTTTATGAAAGGATTTCTGAGCTGTCTTCAAGTTCCTCAGGGTTGACCTCATTTATTATACCTGTAGCCTCTACTAAGTAACAGAATCCAGAGTTACTGCCAGGTCTGAAAATCTGAACCCTCTCTGATCCTTATCTAGCCCCGAGAGGAGATCACTGATGAAGAGTAGGGTGAGAGTTTAGAGAGTTTGAGCGGCTCCGCAGCTTGCACTTGGCTTACTTGAT